AGAGGGCTCTTAAGCTAAACTGAAAGGGAACCAAGCTAAAAGTTTGAAATAAAGCAGAATGCTGAGCAAAATCTATATTGTAACAAGTACAACCGGTTACTATGCAAAAAGCCTAGAAAATTCCGAACTTGGATTTTAAAAAAAGCAAAAAAAAAACTTTCAAACTAGTGTCGTGATAAAAAGATTTAATTTTAAAAATATAATTCAAGCATATTCGACATTCATAGTAAAATAGACCAACTTCTTGAACTTTTTTGTCGAAAAAAGTCTGAAAAAAAAGCCGACCCAGTGGAAAGAGCAAAAACATGGAGAAAAACTGTTTGTATGCACTGCTGGGCGTTAACACAATATCAAAATCAATTGAAATAGATGTTGAACAACCTCCTTTTGAGCTCAGTTTGCGATACAATTTTTTGATAAAAAGCGATACAACGGGTATACAAAAACAGTATGAAGCTCTAAAGCCAGTAAAGACGACTTCGAACGACGTTACCAATAGAGAAACAACCACAAAAAGGAGGAAAAAATCAAACGGTCCGTCCTATCGGGATTGATTTGGAGCGTTCAAATTTTGAGGCCAGAATACTATCAATCTCATAAAACAAAAGCGCAGCAGAGCTTCGCGCCACTTGCGTTGCAACTTAAAAGTACAAAATGGGCAGAGGCCAGTATGATGGAACAAATCTTTATTGAAAAAAATTATAGTAACACAACAGAGTTAAATTGCTATAAGGAAAGATTTATTGAGCAGAACATAAGTCAAAAATTTTTTGTTGAAAGACAATCATTCTGCCAAAAACAAGATTAACACAAAAGATGTTGGGCTATTAAGTTTTGCCCAAAAATTTACATCCTCCTACAGGCTTTTTTGTCCATAAAATGAACCAAACCAAAAGGCGTCTAAGGCAAAAACACAATTGTTGAAAACGTTTCAGCCAAATAAGCCTGCAGAGAACAAAAAACTGATTTTACGTAATTTTTTTTTGTCAGTTTTTTGTTCTCTGCAGGCCTATTTGGCTGAAATGTTTTCAACAATTGTGATTTTGCCTTAGACGTCTTTTGGTTTGGTTCATTTCATGGACAAAAAAGCCTGTAGGAGGATGTAAATCTTTGGGCAAAACTTAAGAGCCCAACATCTTCTGGTTAAAATGCCTGAATCATTCGGTCAGTTTATCAAAAAATTCTCACGTCTCAGGTACGAACTTGACCCGTTTTATTAGTTGTAGTGCCTGAGCTTGAGACGACAAAAGTTATGGGTTTGATACTGGCTAAGAGCAGATTTTTTATAATTAATTCTGGGAGATCTTTATACATCAACCGTTTGTTTGTGTGGACTTTTTCCCAGCTTCCTCCCAAATCTTGCTGCTTTTTTAGTTGAAACTAATTTAGCTGAAGTTGAAACATCTTTTGAATTCTTCCGGTAATTTTTAAATTTGCTACCTCTAATTTTACGTAATTTTTCTTTTTGTCAGAGGTAGCAAATTTAAAAAATACCGGAAGAATTCAAAAGATGTTTCAACTTCAGCTAAATTAGTTTCAACTAAAAAAAGTAGCAAGATTTGGGAGGAAGCTGGGAAAAAGTCCACACAAACAAACGGTTGATGTATAAAGATCTCCCAGAAATTAATTATAAAAAATCTGCTCTTAGCCAGTATCAAACCCATAACTTTTGTCGACTCAAGCTCAGGCACTACAACTAATAAAACGAGTCAAGTTCGTACCTGAAACGTGAGAATTTTTTGATAAACTGACCGAATGATTCAGGCATTTTAACCAGAAAAATATATTTTCAGATTTATATGCTTGCTCTACCGAAGTAATAAAGAAACCTAAAATCCAAATAAAATTTTATTTCTTTTGTTCAATTTTTCTAATTTTTGTTACGGAGGGCTTAAAATGGTGATTACAATTTTCAACATTTAATGTTGTAGTTCCATTTTTTTCAAACAAAACCAATAAAAATAAAAAGAAACAAAGATTTCCAGTTGCTGTGCAGGTAGTACAGTATGCTCCGATCATCCATATTCATACAAAATACAAATAAAAATTCTCGAAATGATTCACTTCTTCAAATTAGTGTCGTGTTTATACTTGGAATGATGATAAAACCATACATATATATAAAAATAAAAAATTTGCAAACTAAGCATAGCCGACAACAGTTGACTTCAAAAAAAGAATAACAAACAAAAAATGAAAAAAAACTCAAAAAAATTTTTGCCAGGGAAGTACAAAATTTAGTTATTAAAACAAGTTAGCGTTTGAAAAAGTCAGAATTTTTAGCCTAAATAACAAATTTAACAAATTATCATCACTTTATTTGGTTAAAATTAAATGGAAAACCAACGACTTTAAACCAATTTTTTCGTCATTGGATTTTTTTTGAAATTTTAAATGTCGTTTGAATTAAGACTGAAAGGGTTCTATTATGTTATGTATAACTCATCCCAGTCCAAGGATTATTTGTGATACGTGATTTTGCACTGAAATAACAAACACTTAAACACACCCGAATAGAAAATTCTTCACCATTTTTAATTATTGGATAAAAAAAAGGAATATAAGCCGACATAATCAAAGCCGACCAATTTTTGCTCCGAAATCTACCAAAAGTTTTCAACGCGAATACAAATAACTTTACAACTCGTAGAGAGCAGTCAAATAACATATACAGGCAATACAAGTCATAAGTTTGCCTGAAAAACGATGAAAAGGTATATATTAGAAATATAATTTCGTCCATTCTTTGCGGAAAGAAAAGTTTGCTACCCTGTTTGAGCACGGTTGCTTTTCGAAAGTGTAAAATAATCGGAGGTGTTTGAAGGAAACAAAATGCGAGCTAAATGAACCGACATCACCAAGGCATATAGCCTATAAGCTGGAAATCAATCAATTTTTTGCATGTATGCCGACATAGTGTCCACGAGTGCTATATATGAGAAAATACATGGTGGTTTACACAATTAAGAAACTAAACAGACAGAACTCCAGTCCCAATTTTTTAGAGTCAAAACTCATTAGCAAAAATAATTCTAGACCCTATAATTCTAGACATAACAGTAGTTACTAGCTTCAGTAGTTTAAATACTAACATACAAAATTTCGAGGTTTTTTCGTCTGGACCATATCCAAAAATGCAGAATTGGAAGTTTTTTGTTTAAATTTATGTTTTTACTTGCCAGTGCAAGTAATTTGTAATCGGTAACTCAATTTTTTTCTTTTAAGTAACTTATCTTACAATTTTGTAAGTCTCTTTTTATTTGGCGTGAAGGTAATGCCGTTGCTTTGGCATTCTAAAGTCAAGAGTTCGAGCCACGGGCGTACCTTGTTTTTTTCAGTTCACAAGAAAATTTCATTCGGCCTAATAACCTAAAACTAATCGCTCGAAGCTTTTTATGACAATTTCTTAGGGTTTTTTCTGTTTTCGAATCAGCGGTCGTCTGCTCACTTAATGTCGTCTTATTGGCCACTTGATAAATGGTGTTTTTAATGCTGGTTTTTATTTTACCGACTATTTTTCTGGAAATAAATTTTTGATTTATTCCAAAAAAATCTTTGTTTTTCAAATTTTATTACCTAGTTGGATTGCAAGTAATGAGAAGCTCCGCTACGCCTCTGTATAAAAAAGTGAAAATATTTGCAGAAAGGAATGAGTTAAATAACTGAATTTTTTTCAGCCAGGATTTTGAATCAATATATGCATATCATATAGTTAAAAAAAGCGAAATAAAGTACTTCAAATTCACTATGTTGCTCTTTTGCAGTTTAGCGATTTTAAGCCCCTTTGGTCTGTCAACTTATTTCGGTTAGTTTTCTTCAAGCCATCTTGAAATAGCATATTGAGGATTTTGTTTGAACAAATTAACAAGTAGAAAATACCCAACAAACGTGATGGCTTGTGATACTTTAAATTTCAAAAATCTTATCCTGCAAAATAAACATAATCGACCTAATTAGCTATTAGATATACAATTTTTTTATACGGTATCATTGTTTATCAGCTGGTACATCGTTGCGGAAAACTAATTCAAGCTTTTAGGACCGAAAAAAATCCCTCTGTACAACAAACTTAATTGATGAAAATGATCAGTTCGAAAGTATTAGAGGACTAATGAAATCATAGCCAAGAGACAATTAGAAAAGAGTCAATGAACGCAAGTAAACAGAAAAAAAATAGTTTGTTTTTTCGAAAACCTCAACTTTTGAATTTGAAAAAAATAGATGGCCTTAAATCTCAAATTTCTCAAATTTCTGCTTTTTGATAAAATTAACCCAATATGAGAAAACTGGATCAAAATGTAAAATTTCTAATTCGCTGAGAAATCTGAAAGTTTAATTCCACTTTTCGAAACTAGAAACCGATCACGTTTTCCGTGACTTCTACACTTGCTTTTCGGGTGCAATTTGCTTTCCTTCAACTTCGAACTCAATTCAAACCGCAAAAAAAGCACAAAAAATTATCACGACCCGTTTAAGAGTCTTCACGGCGTACACCGATTCTTAACAATTGCTTTTTTGGCTCGTGTCAGACACTTAAAATTAGTTCAGGCATCTTTATAAAAAAAACTTACCGGTTCCTCCACCAAAATGGGCATTGATAGGCAACGAATTCGAAGTTTTGGAGCGATAACGCAGTCCCTACGCTCCCCACCTACTCTCAGTCGATGGCTCGAGCCCCAGCATAATCCGTGCACACTGCTTGCGTTTGAGGCAACAATTCTCAGCCCAGAAAATAACCAAAAATGCAAGTAGTTCGCAAGCAGCGGCATTACAATGAATATCCGTAAGGAACAGTATGAATATCCGTCATTAACCTCGTGGAGGAATGGTCTCATCTTTATTCCCTATTATCACGACTCTTGTTTATTGCTTAACTCACGGTATATCTATCCCACGAATTCTAAAGAGCTGCGAAACATATTCCACAGAATTTCACCTAATTTTGAAAAAAATCTGGTCCAGGTTAACAACCCATCGCTAGTTTCTTACCTTGATAAAACCCAGGACAAAAATTTGAATTAAATTTGCTGACAGCCATATCGATTGTTAATTTACAAAATTATAAAATTAGTCAACTTTCACCAAAACACCATAAACAATATCTTCCGAGTTCATCTTCAAAATACTACTAATCAATGTTTCAATACTAGCATTTTAGAGCGTAGTAGAAAAAAGTGAAATAATCTGCGTTGGAAAGCGTAATAGACAGACAATTGTGTTACAGGCATCATAAACAGGAATTGAAATTTACAACTAATGGAAATTAGGACAAGCAGAATCAACAAGATAGAATCCCGAATTAATCTAAAGAACGGAGTCAATCACTAGTCAAATACAGTTTGGAATCCATTACGCCACCGGCTCGAAAGTGTGCACCAAAATCTGGAAATCATCAAACATGGTTCCCAGCTCTGCGACTGTCAACAAGGCCAAAACAGTTAAATCCAACACTTCCCTCGCTCGATTCCTGGATAAAATCCTGAAGGCAACGCCGCCTAGTGAAATAGAACCTTGCGCACACGCTTCCACAGTCTCAAAGAGTGACGTCAACATCATCAGTTCTTCGGGAGCGTTTTCAGGTGTTTGTTCATTCTTCCAAATCAGCTTACAAGCCTGCTTCCCAGTACTTTCTACACTATCTGCCACAGTCATATGTGAAGATTGATCCAACTCCTGTTGCACTTTTCGCCAGAATTCGAAGTTCTCTACACCTTCGCATACAAAGGAAACTGCGCTTCCTTCTTCTGTGACATCTGTCAACATCAACTTCACCACATCTGTCGCTTTTTTCATGAAGTAATCCTCGCTGTGATTCATTGGGCAACAGGGCAACTGTTCATCTTCTGTAGAAGAGATCCTGAACCTGGTCAAACACAGTGGAGCCAAAGAATCATTGCAGACCACACATTGAGGCGCTGCTTCCAGGCACCGCATCATCAATTCGTCGCCAATTGTAGCCATGCAACTTTTGGAAACTTTCCAAGTTCCACAGTGCGGACACGTAGGGTAGTCTCTCTTATGAGCCAGTTCTTTCTGTTTCGCTTTTTCCAAAAGATAACCAATAGCACACACTTCTTGGTCATCTGGTCCTTTTTCAGCCAATGATCTGTTGTAGAGTGCTTCTAACGCCCGTCTCACAGCTGAGTTTAGTTCGCTGTCGGTCAATCCCAGATCACCGAAGTTTTCATCGCCAACATTATTGTCTCGCGCAAAATCTCTCAAATCTTCGAAGCGCTTCTCTATGATAGCTGGCAACATTTGGGCCAACTTGAACACCGATTGTTCCGGATTGGCAGCGAAGCAATTTTGGATGGAAGCATCCGCGCATTCGCTCAACGTAATGTTATCATCTGTTACATGAGTATGGTCAAACGTTTCATGCTTCGGGAACAGGTCTGTAAATTTGGACGAATCATTGTGGGTCAAAATAGCTTTTTCTTCTTCCGAAAGCTCATCAAGCAGCTCTTTGCAAAGCGCTTCACGACGAACAGGGTCCACGTTTTTGTTGTTCAGAATAGTATCATGTGCAAACACTGCCTTTTCCAGTGGGGTCAGCTGCGATATCCTGTCATTATTTTTATCCACGAACGCTTGATAGTTGGGCGCCTCAGCCGCTTCTTCAATAAGATCCTGGTCCAGGAATCGCAAACATTTAGCCAAGTCTGGGTTGTTTCTGCATATATCATCGATGACATCTTTTGACCTCTTTTCCGGTTTCGAAGTTTCAGTAGCACCTTTTGCCAGTTGCTTCTTCATTTTCTCGATGTTTGAAATATTACTGTCGCTTGATTTCACTCCCATTTCAGACTCTGTTATAATCTTCAGTAGACCTGGATTATTGTATACACTTTCGGGGTCAATCGCCGACAGCGAATTGAGCAACGATGAGTCTGGAATCTGATTTGATAATTGATCATTGATGAGACGATCGCATAGGTCCTCAATAACTGGCTCCGATGTTTTCAAAGGAGGAGTTATCTTCATAGCCGCTTCGTTTCTTTTCTTAATCATATCGTCGAACTTTTTGTCTCCATCCGGATTCGCAGCATCGTCGAACAGTGCATTACTCTTCGCAATAAGATCATCAATATCGTCAATTTGATCACTCGAGTTAGCAAACGTCGGATTCTCCAAAACAGTTTCGAGGTAAGACTCAAAGGTAGGATTTGCAATCATCCATGCTAGCGACTTGTCAGTTTCCAGAGCTCTCATAATTGCATCATAAGTCTTTCCGTCTATATTTTCTGGATCATAGCCAAAATCAGAAGCTTCTATCCAATCATTCACACTTGCTGGAGTATTTTCAGCCTCTCGCTTCTTCTTCATAGCTCGTCCGGTCAAGAGCAACATTCCGACTTTGCCCTCTTTCGAGACAAATAGCTTTGCAGCGTCGCCTGCGACTTGTTGGATCAAATCATTGATAGCTTTGTCTAAGGCCTGCAAAGATTCAGGGCTTCCGTTCTCTCGTTTCGAGGCTCGCAGAGCATTAATGTAATTCTGAAATTTAGACTTGAACAAAGGACTCGCTGTTGTCGCCAGAGAACTGACAGCTCCCTTTGCAAACACTCCTAGTCTAAGTTTCTCAAAATCATCTTCATCCAACGATGGAAAACTATCGTGCGAATTTTTCAAGCTGACGGCGTTGGCCAATTTCAAAGCGAACTTCTGTTGAAATATTTCGGGTTCACCGTCGGTTCCCAAAGCTGCTCTAAGAAGGTCATTGCCGACTATGACGCCCGCATTGACACCAAACTGTTCACTTTTCAGTTCATCGCAGCTCACTAATAGCAGTGCTTCTTTACTATTATAATCCACGTCTTCGAACTTCGGATCCGAATTCTCCTGGACAAGAGACCTTTCAAATGACCGAACATAATCGAACAGGTTTTTGTAATGCGCAGGCGACACTGTATCCTTAGTTGCCAATTGTCTGTTCTCTTTTCTAAACAACTTAACTTCTCCCGGTGCCTCTGTAGTAGTCGGCGTTGATGTCAGCTCCTCGACGACATTATGATTAATGGTCTTCGCGCTTTCCAGAATAGGCTTGTCATCAGACTTGAAATCATCCAGCATCTTTTTCTGATCTGCATTCGGGAAAAATTTCAGACCACGCCCGAAAACATTTAAGCCCAGATCGTTTTGGATAATGATCTGAGGTGAAGTTCTGTAGAGATAACTCAGCTCTTTCACGCCGTACTTTTGGCCTTCCGACTCCTTTCTGACTGTATTCTTATATTCCAGGAATGACTCATTTACGATATCTGAGAACTTGTTCCCTGTCACCACGTCTCCCCACGGTTTGTTCTTCATTATGTGCCACAACACAACCGACATCAGCGGAATCCTGAATCTTTTTTCCCTCACAAGGTTGAACAGCTCCGCTCCTGCTCAAAACAAAATCACATAGCGTTGACTCTCGAGTAAGCTCACGATGGATCAGTTTAACTATTAACTCTGAGCTGGTTAGTGCCATTTTACATGATAGTGATAACATTACACATAGGACATCATTACATACACGTTTAAAAAGCTGGCTACTTTGCATTACTCTCAGAATATTAAAAAACTACAAACCAGTGCGTTTATCTTCTGGCAGATTATCCACAGCTTCCAAAACCTCCTTTAGGCTCCCGTCTGCAGACCTGAACAGCATGTGGATGTAATGGAACAGCACGTCTAAGTTATCGGTTCCCTTTTTGTCCATGGAGAGACCCAAGAAGAACTTGCAGTCCTGGACCGAGAAGCTGATGTTGCTCTTGGACACCGCTGGTTTCTCATTTTTCAGTCTCGGCTCCGTCAGATATCGCTCCCATGTCTCGTCCAGAAATGCATCATTTGGCGACATTTTGAAACCTTTTGTCCTTTTACGAGACAAATCACAGAGCGAAACATACATGAATTCAAAGAAAATGTAAGGCAAAGCAAACGGTCCTTCTTCGTGAGTCGAGGATCCCAAGGTCCCGTAAGTCTCCCAGTTCGGATGAATTTCCTCGATCTCTGGATCCCTCATTGGAGCAGCGCTACTTTGACATACGCAGTATAGATCGATCAGGTCATTGTCGATGAATCGGGAGACTATCTTCGGTTTATGGCACTTCATGCAGAAGCACTGCGGATGGCAACATTCGAAATAAGGTGTCTCGTCTTTTCGGATCTTGTTTCGCACAATCTCGTCGTCAACTCCCACGAGACCTTTGAAGAAGAAGTAGGGCGCGGCATTGGGAACGCCTCTTTTGAACGCCTTCGCAGCCCAGTAATGATCAGCTCCTTTCTTATCCGATGCACTCTTTCCTAAACAATTTAACAAGTTAGAACATCTGCTTTGGACGATGAACACAGTGGCTATGATGGAACAATTATGGCATATGAATTCGGGGATCTCTTCCAGAGAATCTTAAGGGCAATCCTTCGATTAGCTCAAAAAATCTCCTAAAATTTCCGAGATTCGCGTTAATCAACTAAAAAGAGTGAGCGCCGGTTTTTTTTAACTTCGATTAATCTTGTACCCATGTGATGGTAATTTAGTGCAATTAGGTTTTGCAAAAATAGGATACGCATTCACTGCAAATATTGATGCCTAAAAGTTTGAACAAATGTTTGGCGAGGATTTTGAGCTCTAAGACACCATTGAATTTGAACAAACACTAGTTCCTATTTACTCGACGACTGTTTCGTATTTGTTCCATTTGAGAAGGCCGAGATCTTTTGAGAAGCTCTCACTGCTGTCCTGGATCCTGACTTTCTAACTTTGCTTTGGTGTATTGAAAGCGAAACAAAAGTCACGTGTGAAATCATTCAATAAGGGGGTATTTATTTGATCTCAAATAATAAAGCGATACTTGATGTCAAATGAAAAGTATATATTTGATCGCTAATAAGAAAGCGTAGCACAAATGGTCACAAGACATGGCGACATTAACTTCTGCTGGTTTATCAAATGCGGACTTAGCTTTGTTCAGATTTGAGCTTGAATCGGTTTTCATTTTTTTTTTCATAAAACCGATTGTTCATTTTTCAAGGTCACGTGAACTTTCACATATTTCAAATTGAATAAAAGCAAGCTATCTCGGATTTTGACTTTTAAGCAATGAAATTATGATTCTTTCATAGTGTTACAAACTGTATTCAGAATACAAACAATTTCAGCTCAATCGATTATTTCTCAATTTAAAGGAAAGAATTAACAGAGTAAAGTCATTGATATATTTGAGTGGCAAAAAATACACCGAGGCTGAAGTTTCAAATGCTGTCATTACTTTGCTAGATTCTTCATATGTTCATGTATGATATGTTGATAAATTTTTGCTTCTGGATGTGGTATGAACTCAGCAGCATCGATGAAAAATTTACCACAATAGATGTTCGAAACCTGAGGACTCACCGGCCATAGCTAAGAAAACATAACTAAGTAAACATTCGAACCAAAAAGAAAACTCAACAGCCTTCGCAAGCCAGAGTGCCAGTCAACAACATCGAAGTATTTAACCTTTTTAAAAGCATTTTTAAGATGGTGCTAGGTAAATAAGGTGACATAACATTAAAACAACAGGCACTATAAGATGATTAAAGAAATCTAACGCAATTGAATGTCCTCTTAGTAGCTTTCGTCTTAATTTCCAGCCCTTTTCAAGGCTTTGCCGCGCAACGGCTCAACAACAAACAGCCAAAAGTATATTTGAAAAGGGTTAATGAACAAACAGCAAAAATTTCGGATATTTTTTTACCATTCTTTACAGATTGCTGAATCTCAAAGAGTGAAAAGAGACATCAAAACACTCGAATTGAATTGATTGTAATGGCAAACATCGCCAAAAACAAATTTGAACAACGCAATTAATTTAGAAATCGGGTGGATTTCAGCTAAATTGGTCGGAATTAGTAAAGAGAACCAAAATTTTGAGAAGACTTTATTTGATTTTAATTTCTTCCTTGTTAGAGCTTTACTCTGATTTTTCAATGTACCCTGCTAGAAAAGCTGTCTAAATGTTATAATTTAATATATCAGAAAAGCCTGACATGTTCATCAATTCAAATTTGAATCGGAAACCTTTATTATATAAGTATTTTGAAGTCATGAAATAAAGTCTAGGTGAAAGATTACGTAACAGGGCTAAAAAACAGCTCAATAAGTTCAACTTATTTTTTATCAACACTTAAACCAGAAGCGACACTTAGGTGAGGAGTGTTATTAAGCAGAGTTTTGCGGACATAACGCCCAGTGACAAGTTAAGAACCGCAGCCATTAAAAGAAGAGACCTGATCTGTGAATCCACGATGAACCTAAAATTATCAAAACTTCAGAGGAGACAGTGGCAAGTGGCAACTATAAAATCAATTATTACTTTCCACGACAGGCGAGAATTTCTTCGCTTAAGAATTGAAATATCAATCGCACGAACTTTATTTGCATATTTTTGAATTTATTGTTCCGACTTTCGATACGAAAGTAACGGAATATGTGCTCGGGGTGGATTTTTTTCTTCAGACAAATTTCGACTTTTTAACTAGCCATTTTTGACGGAAATTTTTTATATCATTCGAAAGGCATTGTTGTTCTGAGCTCAAATTTGAAAAGATATTTCACCTGTAATCATTTTTCGCCAAGTTACGGGGGTTCAAAGATTGCAATTTTGGCCTATTTGGGACAATTAACGCACGATATAATTCGCGCTAATAATGCGTAAGCGGAGAGTTAATCCGTCTTAGAAATCGTTCCAAATTGGTTAAAAGAAACTTATTTGCCATAATTGGTTTGTTACAAGGAGCGAAATCTTTCCTTTTGTACTTTATATGGCGTGTGGGGAGATGATTTTCAGCAAAAAAATTTCAAATTTTAGAAAAAAAAGTTTCATTTTTTTTATTTCATTGAATTTTTTAATGTTATTACTGCTCCATAAACCTTAAAAGGCAGTCGGAACATTCAGGGCTTGGCCCTGATACGAGCAGTCTTGGTTTTAAACTGTCGGTAAAGTAATTTCAATTAAGTTTTCAAAATTTCATACTTGAAGCTAGCTTTCATACAATTGTGAATTTGAAATCGCAGGTCCGGTACAAAATAGCATGAGCTCCTCTTACAAACTTTTTTCTTCCTTTTTCTTCAAATTACTGTCGTTTTTTGCGCGTGCTGTGATGAGAGAACTATACAGACGCATATAAGGTTGGTGAGTTGAGTTTTAACGACGATTAATTGGTGAATTAGGCTTAATAAAAACAGTTGTCTTCAAAAAAAGAAGAAAAAAAATTTCTTAGTTTTATCAATTTTTTGCACAATATTTTTAATAGCTTTTCCGAGTTATCTGTAGTAACTTTTTCCTACTAAAATCCTAAAATCGCTTTTCTGGCTCAAAAACTCAAAACTTTCAAAGCGGTTTTCCTCGACACAGGGACAAATTTTTGAATTTTCAAAAAAATTGGTTCGAATCACGGTTGAAAGGGCTTTGTTATGACACAATCGGATGATTTATTTATCATCCTCAGAAATAAGCCTTTAAAAACATCAAAAAAAACATAATCAGACAACATCATAACTTATCAGAAAAGCAAACCAAAGATGTCCGGCTGCTGTGCAACTAGCACAGAATGTTCCGACCATATTATTGAAAAAACTTTTTTTCAAACTAGAGTAGTTTTTTGTGCGTGGTGTGATAAAAGGCTCAGAAGAAAGCCTAGACTTTTGAGAAATTCGACGGTCACAGTAATATAGGCAAACTGAGCAACAGCTTGTCAAAGTATGACCAGAAAAAAAATACAAAACAATTCCACAAAACTTAGAAAAAATATTTTCCATTTTTTTATATGCAATATTTGAGCGAAATAGTAAAGATACCATATTAGCTCAATTTCTAATCAGCAGACGTCAATAACATATCTATATCATAAATTGAGAGCCCATAATATTTAAACCACATTCAAATGAATTCACTTCTCTTACCTCCGAAAACACTTTGATGTGGACCCCAGCAGGCAGTGCAGAGATCCAAGTGGACGGAACATACGAACTTATTCTTCACCACTTCAACTCCTGGGATCTCTTGGACGTAGAGCTTGTTCTGGATTGGTTGTTCACACAAGAAACAACTTGCATTGCTACCCACCGAATCCGAGTTCTTGCCCGGTGACGATGTCGGTCCTTCGCTTGGCCGACCCATTCTGTACTCACAGTTAACTCTTCTTTACCTTGTGGTTGCTAGTCGATCGTTATGTAGAAAGCGGAGAAAATAGTATGTATTTTGGATTCAGCAGGCAAATTGGGCTACGATAGCTTCTGTTTTAGTTTCCTCAAATTAGAGGGTCAGCTCAAAATGTTTCCCAAACCGCTCAGTCAATCTAGAAATGAAGAACACAAGGTTTGCAAATAAGATCTATGTTTCTCTCGAACTGCACGAAAACTGAACGAAGCAAAGATATGAGACAAGAAAATGGCGTTTAATGAAGTCAAACTGATAAATGACTGCATATAAAGAGAACTATACCATTGTTCAGCTGAAATCTAACTTACCCAATTAAGAACACAAATGAGACGCGGTTTAGAAAATAATTAGTCAGTCTAAAAATGACCTATGCTTCACCGGTGGTTCAGTTAGTTGAGAATAATAAAAATGAAGTGAGTTTGGAATTATTCAGCGTGAAATGGCGTTCACTTAGTTGAGAATGAGAAAAACGAAGTGAGTTTGGTATAATTCAGAGTGAAATGGTCCACAAGTTCAGACAAGTAACCACGAGTGGCATTTTAACTATATAATGACACTTTGTTGCTATTCTTTCTGATTGTTTTTATTTTATCTGTTGTTTATATTTACTGAATACTGAAATACCTTAAGTGAAATGACTTTGTGGTAGCAAAATATTTTGAACTAATTCAGATGGTAAAAGGCTAATTCTTTCTTGTTTTATCCTTTGTAAAATGTAAATCTACAATTCTGAGGGTTCAATTGAATATCCGCTCGTTTTCTTTGAAGATTGAAAGAAAATTTTTTTGTCGACCTTTTTCGTCATCATCTTAGGCTAATTTGCAGATGAAGCGCACTCCATTTTCAACGCGGATTCTACCCATAGCAAAAAAAAACGTAGGAAGAATTGCTCGCATTTTTCATAAAATGACACTAAAGGTTTAGAGCGATTTTGAATGGCACACAATGGAAAGCAATTCTATGTCTTTCCTACAAAATTGTTGGCTATGATAACGCAGACGCCCTCAATTTCAAACTGATTAAACAAAAAATGGTTCCATTTGAAGGGCAATTTGAAATCCCAACGAATCAATCACAAAGAAATAGCAGAAGTCTAGCACGCAAGTTATGAAAATCTAGCACTACTCATTTACACACATTTACACACAGAAGGCTATGACCAAATCTGACGGCCAATTAAAATTGAACACATGCATGAATTATATGAAATTATATGAAATGTACCAAAACTACTATATAAAAAGCCAAAAAAGCAAATTAATCAGTGTTAGTTTCATCTGTATTTCAAACTTCTGTATTTCTAACTTAGACCTCATCTATATTTCAAACTATCTATTTAGATATTAGATATTTAGATATTTCTAGCCCTTCCCTCCCCATGTTCTCGATTTTACCTATTCCTTTTTAATCCGACTTTTTATTCCGACTATTAGATATTTCTAGCCCTTCCCTCCCCATGTTCTCGATTTTACCTAGAACAGTCGAAACCTTGACATAAGCGGCAAACACATCAATACTAGCACAACGATTCCTTTTTAATCCGACTTTCGAAGAAAATGGAATATTTATGCTCGGTGTGGTTTTTTTTATTCAGTTAATTTTGGCCGATTGAAGAAATAATTTTCAACAAAAGATATAGCTCATTGAAGATATCGACATCCGATCAAGTTCTGGGGGTTAGAAAATTGCCGAATTTGCCATGTTCTGGACTTATCCGCATTTTGAAGAGTTTATCCAGAATGTTACAAGCGTAACGCGAATTATTTATGCGTGGCGAATTATTCCGCACAACAAAATTGTTCCAAATTGAATTGAGGCTAGCTAATCGGTCGTATTAATTTCGTAACTTGGATTTTCACTTTTGATCTTTGGTATTGTCCAAAAATTATACGTTTTCAATAATTTCTTTTCCCAAAAACTATTCGATGAATTAAGGTACAGTCGGAACATTCAGGAATTTCATAATTTGCGATCAGTCTTGTTCAGCTTAGGGTTCCTTTTGCTAAAACTCGAATAATGTGAAGTCAATAAAAAATCCCTGATTTATTGAAAAACATCAGCAGCACATTATGGAGCGAACAAATATAAATGCTGTAGAACAGAATTGTAATTCACCTTGCAAAAAACAGAACGTTTTAGACGAGCCGAGAAAAGATGGGATAAATAATAATTTACTCCTTACAAGATACAACAGCAATGACACCTATATAAAAGTAACATTAACATATTATCCTCTTCCAACTTTTCCTTTACTAAAATTCAATCCTTTACTAAAATTCTTATCTTTTACTGAAATTTACTAAGATTCTTAACCTGCACGTGTTAATTCAATTCAGGCCATAAATTAAGACTCAATTGAGTCGCAAAATCATACTTTCTGTTGTGAAGACGCAATTTACCACTTTGCCTAAAGATAGTACCTTATCACAATTAATTAATTTTAGTTCGCATTTTTCACAATTTCCGAGTAAAAGGAATGCAAATTATGTCATTATGTCTATTTCATCATTCAAAAAGGCAACAAAAAATGAGCCAAATGACTTGTGGATTGTCGCAATGCGACCGTCGTACTCCCATAATTGATGACCACGAATATACGAAAGAGCAAGAGGCGAAAAATGGTGACGAGAACTGAAATGTTCAAGATGGCATTTCCACAAATAAGGCGATAGCTATCACATTTGGCTATGATCGGATGTCTTCACGCAATGAACTTAGCCACGAAGTCTTCCTTGGTCGAATTGACGCAAAAATTGTTCAGAAGATAAAACAGGATAGTAAAACCCACATAAATCGAATAGTAGCAGGATGATTGTAACCTGCCTGCAATACGTCGCGCAGAAAAAAGAAGTGCAATTGGCTTTACGATCTCGATCTGCATTGAGAACGGCTCTAAATCGACAGAAAATATCAGAAACACCCGTCACCTCACCAATCGTTGATAGGCATTTCGAAATACCGCAACCGTTTGATATCTTCTGCCTTTTCGACAGCGGTACCGAGCAGGAGGAAGGAATACTTACTTTCGGCGACCGCGATAATGTGAATACTCTTCAGTTGGACCAAGACCTGTGGCTTTGTGGTGGCACCTTTAAATTATGCCCAATGCAACTTTATCAAATATATACAGTCCATAATCAATTGACAGGATTTGATACCCCGTGCGTTTAGGCTCTGCTTCCCAATGAAAGTGAGCACATCTACAAGAAGATTCTCAACAGTTGTCACTGCTTGCGCAGAACATCAAGCCGAACCGTAAGTTCCTCGTTTCCGTACTCTCTACCTCGGAGCACGGGATTAGAGTCGATCTGAAACCATTATACGAAAGCAAACGTCAGCTGAATTTGGCATTATGACTCATTCCTGCAAGTAAATTCGTAACAAATGACATGGTTACCGTTGCGTTTGATCACGTCGTCGAAAAATTTGCGAAAGTTGCTGATCGCTTTGAGTTAAATGACACCATAAATGAAACATAGGCGCTACGCGCAATACACCGAAGGCATAGAAACTGAAGCAAAAACCAAACAACTTGAACAAGTAATAATTGAAGAATAACAGTTCTAGAACAAAAAATCGTACTAATACATGTATACACCAAAATTTTGCTATATCGAGAAAGAGCCTGAAATAACAGTTCTAGAACTAAAAATCGTACTAACACATGTATAGGTTAAATTTTTGATATATCAACGAAGATCATAAAATAACACTTCTAGAACTAAAAATCGTACTAACACATGTATACACCAAAATTTTACTATATTGACAAAGGGCCTGAAATAACAGTTCGTGAGCTATAAATCGTACGAACAGATGTATACACCAAAATTTTGCTATATTGGCAAAGATCATGAAATAACAGTTCGAGAGCTAAAAATCGTACTAACACATGTATACGTCAAATTTTTGCTATATTGACAAAGATCATGGAATAACAGTTCTAGAGCTAAAAATGGTACTAACACATGTATACACCAAAATTTTGCTATATTGACAAAGATCATGGAATGACAGTTCAAGAACTAAAAATGGTACTAACACATATATACAATAAAATTTTGATATATTGACAAAGATCATGAAATAACAGTTCGAGAACTAAAAATCGTAATAACACATGTATACACTAAAATTTTGATATATTGACATAGATCATAAAATAACAGTTCGAGAACTAAAAATGGTACTAACACATGTATACGCTGAAATATTGCTATATTGACGAAGAGCCTGAAATAACAATTCTAGAGCTAAAATCGTACTAACACATGTATACACCAATATTTTGCTATATCGACAAAGAGCCTGAATAAACGTTGTAGAACTAAAAATCTTACTAACACATATATACACCAAAATTTTGCTATATTGACAAAGAGCCTGAAATATTGACAAAGGACCTGAAATAACAATCGTAGAACTAAATGTCGTACTTACGCATTGTAGTTCAATTTCTATAGCTATAATAAAATACAAAAGATTGTGTTTGTATGTGTAGCAAAACGCCTCCTGTCGTTTCAATCGGCCAATCGTATAAATTGGCATGTAGACTCATATGGGTCTCCGGAATAACTAAAAATCGTACTAAATACATAAATAAATAAATAAATAAATAAATAAAAGCAAAAGTGAAATGTACAAATAATTAAATAGACATGAAAAAATATATATGAACAAATAACCAAACAAACAGACCCATAATATAAATAAATGAAAATAAATAAATTAAATAAATACACATGCAGAAATAATAAAAGCAAAACTAAATGAAAGAAAGAATAATTAAATAAATAAACAAAACACGTGATAAAAATAAACAAAAATAAATATGTACATACATAAATTATAAATAAATATAAGCAAACTAAACATAATTAAATAAATAAAAGAACAGATAATTAAATAAATAAAGATGAACAAATAAAGAAACAAACATACGCAATCACGTGACATAGCGCGATATAGTCCAGCCCACATGATAATTGATAACTGTGGACGTTATTTGTCGACACTTGACAACAGACAACATTAAAAAAAAACCCGTTACACGATACCATAACACCTTGACTTAAGTCTTCGGTGTAAAAACTAGATGAGATTGCCTCCTCTTTTCAAAAAAACAACATCAAAGGAGAGACAATAAGTCGAAACAAACGAGAGCCATTGTTTCCGATAACATTGTGAAACCACTCGCAAGAAGCCGCAGCTGGCCCGGTAAGAACAACAAATGCCGAAGAGGGATGGCACCTTGGCCAACTAAAGGGCGTGGGAAAAAAGCAAACCCCGTCTTAAAAGTACCAGGAAGTGAAAGAAAAGAGTAACAAACTTTGTAAAAAGATTCAACACAGACAATTAAAAATTATTTATACTCTCTTGCTCAATTCAGCTGTTCTTAAATGTCAACTTCGCAAAACTTTGTAAAATTTCAATCGCTTTTTCGAAAAAAAACTACACTTTTGAGGTCTCCGCCGTTCCAGTGGTCTGCGATTTTTGTAGGTGATAGAGGCCAATATCAAAACAATTTATCTTTCTCTCATTCCGCCCCATGTACCGGCTAGGCTTGGTATTGGGGAGTCTACCTCTCCTTCTGTAACCAATTAGTCAAACCTTTAGTACAAGTCGAATTTCACTTAAATTTTGACTTCTCGGTGAGTTGATCTTTCAAACTTTTGATTTTGAAGCACATGCGTTATCCACTAAGCTGTATCGACTTGGCGTGATACGACTTCTGTTCATTCAATAAACAGATGCAACGCATTTCTTTTACAAATTAGTCAGATATATTTTTGCTCGTTCATGCTTTGATTGCATTTTAGTTTTGAACGACTTATTGTACATTGCTCTGAAACTTTATTCACATGCGGTATCTATTTCATGATCAAAAATAACAAGTTTTCGATATCTATTCAGGGTTATAATAAACGGAACAGTAAATAGGTGAATTGGACACAGATGCTAAACTTCGCTACGCAAATATTAGCGAGAACACGACAAAAAGCAGCTCTATAAAAATTAGAAAAAACATCGAACGAGCAGAAATCCGGATACGCCTCGAATTCAATCTAAGACCAAGTAAGACCTAGAGATAATGAGTCTCAAGAACTAACCACTCGACCACTAACCGGTAGCATAACACTAACACTCACTAAAGCTGGCTAGTGTAAATATACTTTCATATATTGAATATATCAAAAAATTCTATGTTCCAGCGGTTCAAAACAACGCTCGAATCACTTTACTATAGCTCAATGAATTTAGGGTCAGTGACATCCTATGTTGCAAAAATTTTCAAATTTGAGTCAAAATCGATTTTGTATTTATCGCAAACTCCAGACACAGATTAGCGGATTGTATAACCTTTGTTTCCGCTCAAAAAATTACAGTCAAATTCGAAGCCGGAGGTAGATAAAATTCGTAAATTAAATTTAAAATCAATAAAGCGCAGATTTAAAAATAACCCGGAATAAAGAACTTTCAAAATTGAGAAACTTTCAGAACTAACAAACAAGACACCTTATGTCCAAAAACAGCTTCTATTTGATTTATAATTTATAACATACGGATGACTTATTGTAGGGATGTGTCTCGTAACAATAAATAATTGCAGAGATTGTTCATAAACGAAACCACTTCGGCATCAATGCTCACTCGTTTTGATTCGTCTTCAGTGGTCGGAAGTGCTATCGATGGCACATTCGCAGTCGAACTTACACACTTCAGCCTGAACACAGGGAAGAAATCTCTTCTGAAGTCAACTAACTCTTGCTGTGAGACTTCTATCTGTTGCACCGAGTCCGCATGAGTTCCAGCCACTACTATTTCGGGTGTTAAATCTGACATTGTGCAGTTCATGAATTTATCTTTCATTGACTGAATATAATTTGGCAACATGTCAAAGCTATTTTTATTAGTTAGAGAAAAGGCAACGACTAATGCCTCGCACCCGTCAAGCGCTAGTTTCACGACATTTGGGTTATTTTTTTCAGCTGAAGGTCCATACTCGAAGAAAATGAATTGAAAGTACGCTACTTCGCCACTACTCTTGATCTTGGCAGGCCAATATCGAACATGTCCGACAAGCCCTGGTGTCTCAAAGTGCTTTTTAGGAGTTGGATTTCCACATAACTTAGCAACCAAAGAACTTTTGCCAACCTTTCCGATTGGACTGCAGATAAGAACTTTGTGTTTGATTAACTTTTGCCCAAACTTATTTGAGCCAGCGTTATTGAAGAGTATTGATGGGCGTTCCAAAAGACCACACGAAGAATTGCTTGAGCTAGAATGATAACACTTTGACGCATTGATATGAGATTTTCCATCAGGAGACGAACTCCAATCGAAATCGATGAGAACTGAAGGCTCCATCATCGTGATTACAAGGAGAAACTACAACATTGCATTCTGAAAAGAATAAAAATTGGTTAAAAACTTTCAAAGCAAATTTTACTCACATTTGGTCAGCGGCAAAAATCAATATTTCAGTTTAAGGAAAATTCAATTTTGAAAATATTTAACACCAAACAAAAGCAAATGTATATTTAACGCTAAACTGCTAAAAGTTTTTTTCATTAATTAACAGATAATTTTTTCAATTTGGAGTAATCTAGCGGTACATAAAAAGAAAATATTGACTAATTGGTTTTTACATTTTGCCTCTAGGCATAACGATTGATAGAGCATCGCCGTATTCTCCCCATGACAGTCTTTTCTGCTGAAAAATAACGATCCAACAGGTTAAAACAATTAGCCAAATGATTCCTCCAGCAGCTGATTTGATAACGTAGCCTTTAATGAATCTCTGCTCGGGGTATTCTGCTTTAAATAGTTCCCGGCAGAACCAGATCGCATTCACTATCCACAGAATCGGAAGCAGTAAAAAACCGAACATGTAATAAGTTTTGCAGATATGCAGTTTTTCCGAGCCATTTAACTTGGACAGATTCATCTGAAACTCACCAAGATAGTTAACGCACATTCTGACGTTCATTTTCCTATTTAGGTAAAACTTTGCATGCTTACTGCCAACCATGAAACAAATCAGTATGAAGAATTAAACAAGCGAAGCAAAGATCTTTAAAAAAAACAAGTTCAAAAAAAGGACCTTCCGCGTAAATGTGGTCCAAGTGCAAGCAGGTTGAGGCACTCCCAGCAATAAAATAACTGCAACAAACCGACATGAACAAAGAGGCAAAGTTGCACTTCGCATACACAAGCAAAAATGTGACCGATTTCATGACCACTTCGCAAACAGTAGAGAGAACAGGACAAAACAGCAAAACATAATAAAACTAGAAATAAGCCTCGATTTGGTAAAAATTCGGCTACAACTCGGATTCGATCTGCAACCTAGAGATTTATGAGTCTCACACACTAACCACTTACGCTTAAAAAATAACAAACATTAGCCACAAATAATGCAGAGAACAGGTGAGAAATTTCCAATGCTACAGAGCGTGATTATATCAAAACTATCACCAAAAACTGCACTTTGCCACAAAAAAAAGAAATAACACTTCAATAGCTGTAGAAAAGTCTAAGCCTCAACACAATAAAATGAAATGAAGATTAGTTCGAAATTTCAGATTAGTTGCTTACAGTAAAATTAAACAAGTAAAAATTGCTTGCATTTCACTGGTATAAAGTCTTTTATTATTTTCTTGAGCTTTGAAGTAGTGTGGTCAAATATTCTTAAAATTACTGGCAATGAGTTCCAATTTTTTGAAGCGAGGTGAAATATGGTTTTTTAGAGCAGTTGAAAAGTGATTATCATAAAATTTTGATGTATTGCGATTATTCATTCTGTAATTGGCTGTCGGTAATTTTTTTGCATTACAGAAAGCTTTCCTCTTAACGGGTAAGATATTGATCTAGATAAGTTACACATTTCAATTCGATTTTGTTTTCAATTCCGATATAAAAAATGTTTTCACGCAGTGCGGCGTAGGATTTCAGTTCAGATCTGAAAAACCTTTAACTGCTTTTCTAGAGGAATCGGTGAGGTCGCACCGGTTTGTGGCAAAAAAATGCTGCATAATCTAGATGAGATAAAACTTAACAAATGAACATGGCAACCAAAGATATTTTAGGCAGCTGTTGTCCAATTGTATCTTTACTCTGATTTCCTTGAAAGCTTTTTGCTAGATTATATGAGTTTGAAATGAAAGATTAGAATTTAGATTCAAACCTAAGTTTTTGCATTCAGATTTTTTCAAAAATAACAAGATAGTCAGATTTCACTTTTTATTTATCAACTTTTTTCTAAAAAAAAGTTTCAAACTTTTTCTCGATGCAATTAAATTTGAATGACTTTCAGATAAAAAGGAATTAAGTTCGTGTAAGGATTTTTTTAAATTGACTCATTGAGTCACTTGAAAATATACTTGACGCAGACACCATACAATTATCTGCACACTGTACCAAAATTCATCCATCGCAGTAGTGATTCCGCATATCATTCGTTCATATATTGAACAGCAACGGACGCAGTACTGTTCCTTCAAACTGACTTCTTTCGACTTCGATCCAGTCCGAAAAAATTCGATTCACATTGACTCTTAGAACACGTTTATTCAAAAAACTTCTAATATTGTAATAGCTTTTGTTGAAAAACCAAAAAAGCATAATTTTTTAACTAGAGTAAAACGAAAAACAGAATGAACTAACAATGAAAGCTTTTTTTGTAAGTTAGGTAAGATCAAAAACGTTCGAACTAACACACTAACGCTTGCAAGCTGGCTTATGTAAACAAATTTCAAATTATAACTCACAAGTTACTAAAAAAGATTAAGAGTCTCACGCACAATTTTTCTAAAACTCCACTCACCCCTTCCTAATTAACGCTAAATTTAGACAAATGTAGGTAGTTTTGATTGCAAACGTCAGGTGAGCTTTTTATCGCTTTCTTCTTGACCACGATGCCGCACACGTACAATCAGTAACGAGCGCCAGAATCTTCTAAATGCCTTCGTTGCACACTTCTCGATCAGTCAATTCCAGTCTCAATTTGAAGCACACAAGTACTCTTCCACCAATGCAAAACCTTATTCCCGCATAGTGCTACAATTCCATAAAAAGGGTTAAATGACAAAGATTCAATGACCGAGCACCGAAAACGCCTATACTAGGACCCCAATTATACTTAGGTTTGAGCCCTTCAAATTTCGTGAAGACACTAAAAGTTTATTGGTGATTTCTTGTATCATAGCTGGATTTAGAACAGAAAACCTTCCCAACAAAACGATAGTCCACTCATACAGGGGCAGTAGCATGAAGAAAAAACTGAAAGTGTTAACTAAATATCCAACCTCGTATCCAAGATGCGTAATTATATGGATGGCACTAACTGTTTTCGAAAGAGAAAATTTGAAAACCTGAATGTTTTTTCGACAAAATTTGAGGAATCAATAGGCCCTTTAGTGCAAAAAATTACACCTGAAATTTTGGTAACATACCACCATTTTTGAATAACGTAGAGACAAACAAAATTGTGGACTTTTAGAATGAAAAAAGTGTCTTTACATACGGCTTACGGCTTAAAATCTGGTTATCAGGTGGTGAAATTAAAAACAAAGATAAAAAGCAACAGCAAAGGGAGATTTCCATATTGGGAAAATTTTCAGTTAAATGACAAGAATGCTGTCCCCTTTCTACGCAATTGTCTCAGATCTTTCAGATGCCAAAACTCTAATAACTTAGCCCGCCCAAAAGCCGTACAGAATTTCAATAATCAGAAACAAAACATTTCTGCAAATGGGATCCATATTTATCATCGGCCCCGCAGTACTTTCAAAAACTTTGCTATGCGCTCAAACCCCCACTGAAGTGGAGTGAAGGGATGGAGCCGCGCTTCATCAGTTGGAACGTTGCAGCCGCGCACACATTTGAATTCACATTTCCTGATGCTTGGAGCAGGAAAAAGATCAAAGCACCACCTTCCAGAAGACCAGAGGACTCGGCTGATATGTGGAACGAGGTGTATGCTCCCACGGATGACTTATCAAGACTGAGGTGGGCAGGAGAGGTGAAAGTAGTGATGCTGGAAGTGGCAAAAGAGTGCAAAGGAGGCTCATACATAACGACAGAGGACCTGGCACCACATGGCGAGGAGTCCGTAGAATTCCTGGTGAATGATGAATTGTTCTATCACGCAGGAGACCTGACTGTACCGGCGCGGCCGGACTCGGGCATAGACACACGACAAGGCCCTTCAGGACCGAAGCCGAAAAATGATGCGGATGACGATGAATTGATGGATCAGGACGATGATGACATCAGGGGAAAGACAGAAAAGCCGGGTGAGACGGATCTAGGAGCGCTGGAGAGAGACTTGCTGGAGTACCAATTTAGTAAAGACGACGACGGGGAAGTCGATGGGAGTCTGTTGCTGATGACGCCATCGTCTTTCATGTCCCCTACAAAGGAGGCGTCGGCCGAATTATCCCCGATAGACTCAATAAGTCAGGCGAGAGAGTGCCGAAATAGGGATCCACGAAGATTGCTCCATGAGTCATCAAGGAGGAGAAAGATTGAAGAGTCAATGAGGGTATGCTTCCTGAGTACGCTACCGGAAGAGGAATGGGGAGATATCAAAGTGAACTAGAAAGCAAGACAGGGGCAATCTGGAACCGAGTGATTTTCATGGAAAGGTCATGGAACGTGATACTAAGATTTGGGATGCAGTCCATAATGAAGGTGGGATTGAACCAACCCATTATGCGCGAGTTCCTGGAGAAAATATTGAACTCCATAGAGTCTGATGTTCTGACCGAGTCAGTTACGGAGGACAGTGCCGATGATCAGCAGGTCACGAAGAAATTACCTGTCAGACGAGCCAAAAAAGGGCTGAAGTGGCTGAAAGGGAAGACAGGAAGTCGAGCCGTGAACCAGAGAGTGGTGAAGTCAAAAGCCAGCGCAGTGGTGGCCTCTTTGACGGGCGCAGGTCGTTCAGGCGAGAGCGGGCAAGGAGATGTTGCGACGCTGACTGGGGGAGAAAAGGAGAACCTGATACCCCTTATGCTCTTGGCAGGTCTGACCCTAACAGCCACCAAATCAAAAAAGACCGCACGAACCCTAGCAGACACTAAACTAGAGATGGAGATCATCAGTCAGTGTGAATCTGGAGGACTTGATGATTACAGGCCCTCGCGAACCAACATGGCCAAGATGAAACTGGAGGGACAACTCGACGTGGTCGAGTACAGTCGGGTCACTGTGCCGGAATCGGTCCACATGGGAGATCCAGCAGGGGGTTATGTGGAGATGTTGAAGGCGAGGAACTCCGCGAGAGGGCACCTGATGGCTTGGAGCGAGAAGCGAGCCATGCAGGAATATCTGAAAGGTCTTACGGAGAATTCTAACCTAAATCGGAAAGAATACGGCACGATAATGTCCTCGGAGG